CATTTGGGGTAGTGGGAGGAAAAAGGGGCCCCACCTTGGTGTCGGTTTTGGGAAGGGAAAGTGCCCCATCTTTTGGGGTCAGTGGGAGGAATATTGCCCCATCGTTTTGGGGTCGTGGGAGAAAATTGCCCCAACGTTGGGGGTAAATGGGAGGAAAGTGCCCCCCATCATTGGTGTCATGGGAGGGTTTGTGGGCCCCCTCATTGTGTCAGTGGGGGGAAAATTTCCCCATCGTTTTGGGGTCATTTGGGGGAATTTGTGCCCCATCGTTGGAGCAGTGAAGGGAAAAAGTGCCCCAAACGTTTGGGGGAAGTGGGAGGGAAAAGTGCCCCATCGTTGGTGCAGTGGGGGAAAATTGCCCCATCGTTTGGGGTCAGTGGGGGGAATAGTGCCCCCTCATTTGGGGTCAATGGGGGGAATATGCCCCATCAATTTGGGGTCCGTGGGAAGGGAAAAGGGGCCCCCCTCATTTTGGGGTCAGTGGGGGGGAATAGTGCCCCGGTGTCAGTGGGAGGAATAGCGCCCCCTCATTGGTTTCAGTGGAAGCGCCCCCTAATACGCGCCCCCTTACATTGGTGTCAGAGTGGGAGGAATAGCGCCCCATCATGGTGTCAGTGGGAGGAATACCCCCATCATTGTGTCATGGCAAGGAATAGCGCCCCATCATTGAGTGTCATTGGAAGGAATAGCGCCCCATCCATTGGTGCGTCAGTGGAGGAATAGTTAGCCCGAGCGAATGCTAGACAGAGATAGGAATCAGCGTTCCCGCATCATTGGTGTCAGTGGGAGGAATAGCACACCCCATCATTGGGCAGTGTCAGTGGGAGTAAGAGTGGCCACATCATTGACGTGTCCAAGTTGGTATGAAATGGTGGCCCGCATCAATTGGTGTCCAGTGGGATGAAATGGTGCCACCATCATTGGTGATCCAGTGGGATGAATGGTGTTCGCCATCATTGAGGTGTCATGGGAGGAGTAGCTGCCCCAATCAATTGTGTCAGTGGGAGGAGTAGTGCCCCAGTTCATTGGTGTCATGGAAGGAGTAGCGCCCCATCATTGGTATCAGTGGGAGGAATACGCCCCATCATTGGTGTCAGTGGGTAGGAATATGCGCCCCATCATTGGTGGTCAGTGGGAGGAATAGCGCCCCATCATTGGTGTCAGTGGGAGAATAGTGCCCCATCATTGTGTCAGTGGGAGGAATAGTGCCCCATCATGTGGTGTCAGTGGGAGGAATAGTGCCCATCATTGGTGTCAGTGGGAGAATAGTGCCCCATCATTGGTGTCATGGAGGAATAATGCCCCATCATTGGTATCAGAGGGGGGAATAGTTGCCCCCCATCATTGGTGTCAGAGGGATGGAATAGTGGCCCCCATCATTGGTGTCAGTGGGAGGAATAGTGCCCCCATCATTGGTGTCATGGGAGGAATAGTGCCCAATCATTGGTGTCAGTGGGAGGAATAGTGCCCCATCATTGGTGTCAGTGGGAAGGAATAGCGTCCCATCATTGGTGTCAGTGGGAGGAATATGTCCCATCATTGGGTGTCAGTGGAAGGAATAGTGCCCCATCATGGTGTCATTGGGAGGAATAGTGCCCCATCATTGGTGTCAGTGGGAGAATATTGCCCCATCAGTTGGTGTCAGTGGAAGGAATAGCATATCCCATCATTGGTGTCAGTGGAGGAATAGTACCCCCATCATTGGTGTCAGTGGGAGGGTGGGAATAAGTGCCCCATCCATTGGTGTCAGTGGGAAATAGTGCTCCCCATCATTGGTGTCAGTGGAGGAATAGTTGCCCCCATCATTTGGTGTCCAGTGGAGGAATAGTGCCCCATCATTGGTGTCAGTGAATAGTATGCCTCCAGGAGCCAGATAAAGCGAGCACAGAGCCACATCAGGCCCTCAGGCTGAAGTTTGAAGACCCATCTGATCTAGACCTATAGTACTCCTATCGTTCTCTTCATATAAACTTTAGACTGCTCTGGGGTCCCTAGTGCACACCCCTCTGACAGAACATACCCCAAAATATGGGTTTTAAGTGGATTCTACATAACAGTGATATATCCATATCCTTACCTCCAAAAGTAATCCATACTCGGAGCCCCTGTAATCTATTACAATCACACCGAAATCTGGCTTTCATAATCTATTTGTTCATGAAAATGTTTCTTATTGTGTCTTCTTCTGCGTCCTCGAAATGCTCCCCGTCCCCTGAGCTTCTAGAACCTTCTCTCCTTTTCCCCCTCACTTCCGTCAGCTCTATGCACATCCTGATATTCCATCTCAGGAGCGAGCTACAGAGGGTGGGTTCCTACATACAGTGGGACCCACGCATGGGGATGTTTGACC